CTAATGAAAATAGGCAAATAGTTTTTGTGTATGAAAGTATTAATAAAAATACATACACTCAAGGTATATTTACCAGCTGCATGGGAGGTTCGTACTGGGGATATATTTTGCTGTGGCCTCAGAAGTCTAGGAATGCATCCGAGAAAAAATATAAGCGAACTTAAGCAACGCTTTATCTAGTACGGGGACGTGATGAGAGTCAAGCCACGTTTACACTACGCTCAATTTTTGGTACGGCGCGGATAAAATTGGTACCCATACCACTTTTTTGGTTCTTGGACTGCCTATTTAGGTAGTTACAACGGCAAAAACAATAAACTATCGCGTTGTGAACAAAGATGGAGAGGTGGAGACCTTACAGCGACTGTCTATTCCTGGCGTTCCAGTAAGCATTGCTTTTGCAGTTTGCAAATATTTTTCAAGTCTGGTCCAACCTAAAAAAACATGGTCATGAATACGAAAATTTACAAGCACATAAAGAAAACCTATACTAATCAGTAAAAATATACACTTTTCTCAAGATTATGGTAGCTGCAAAGCCAACGAAACTGGGGTTTGGGCGTTCACAGGCGTTGAAGAAATATTGTAATAAATTGCGTGTTGTCAATCACAAACACTGCAGAAGTGTCTAATATGTATATAAAAAATGTGTCTAAAAATCTAATCTTACCATAAAAGGTTAAATAAGCGAAAGCTGAATCCCTTCCAAGTTTATTCTCCGTAATGCATTTATATGTTCCAGCATCACTCCACTTTACTTTAGGTATGGTATACATCTTGCCAGTACTGAGCATGGTACCATTATGGGTTATGGTATAACTTGGTTCCGGAAGACCATTAGATTCACACATTACGGCAACATTTCCACCAACAACAGCGGGGTTCTTTGTAAACGTAACGCCTGTATTGTTAGGTTTGACTGTGAAGAGAAAAAAACTCTTTGTTACTAATGAGAATATAGGCAAATGATTGCTTTTTTCTGAAAAATATTATTCAGTAGTAATAAGAGTAAATATATATACATGTACTCAAAGTGTATTTACCAGCGTGGAGGTTCGTACTGGAAATATATATTTTTCTTTCTAGGACGAGGGAAGATATTAGCGAACTTACAAACAAGGCTTTATCTATAGTGCGGGGACGGGACGAGAAGAAATCTTAAATTTTACAATTACTTTTAATTTAGTCACAACGGCAAAATCTATATGAACTACGGCATTGGAAACAATGACGGAGATAGGAGAAAAAGAAATTGAAACTGTTTCGCAGAATTAGCAACATGAAATTCCTTCAAGTTTTCAAATGTATAATTTAACAATTTCCAAACATCAGCCATATTATTATGGTAATAGACCTTATGCATTATGACGTCACAAGACTTGATGCCGGTGAGGAATGCTGGTTATAGTAGTCATCGCCCGAGCTAAATGAAACAATTCAAAATGGCCATGCATTGTCGAAATTCTACCGGGCGATGATTACTAAGACCAGCATTCATCGCGGGAATCAAGCATTGACGTCATTATGCATAAGGTCTATAATTGTGTATAGACTTAACACTAAGCTTATCATCATTTTGTGCTAATTAGTTAAAACTTTAACACTAGGTTTAATAAACCTGGTTTATCATATGATAATTTTCAGCAAACCCACCTTTACGTTAATATTGTGTTTATCCACAAGTGGGACATTGCTGCATGTCACAACATATGAAAAACGTATATAGTGTTTAAGTACATTCACCTCACCATCTGCTGTGCGGATGCCATGCAGAGCTCTACTCAGGGGTTATTCTAAGCTGGATTTGCTAGGTCTTCTTGGAGTTGGAAAAAAAGATCTGGAGTTGTAAATGAAAAACACTGGAGTTGTACAAAATATATCACGTACATTCCAGCAGTCACATTCATTGACGTATAAAGTAATGTAGTCTAGTTTAAAAATGTAAATTAGAGAAGTTATAAGTGTTTTTTATCCGTAAGCCAAGCTTTGTTCAAAACAGTTTGGCATTCTTATTTTGTTTTACATGTTGATCCACCATGTCATCGCTTGTGTGTTCTTTCTTCTCAGTTGCTTCTTCAAACACACATTTGAACCATCGTTGATAACGTGCTTTATCAGTTTCCTTGTTTCTGCGTTGCCTTTGTTGCAGCCATCTCACAACACACATTCTTTGATCCAATTCTTCAAGAGTTGGCATATTGAAGTGAACATACACATAAAGATTTTGTGTTTCGACATCAATAGAATTCCTCAGCGATGTTTTTACAAGATTACATGCACTGATTAACCTTTCAACATCGCACGAGTGAGGTTTTGCTGCCCATATATTCCGGCAATGTTTATGACATGCAATATTGAGGTAAATGTTTCGTTTTCTTGCCAAATACTGTCCCATCTGAGCTAAACGTAGGCTTTGGAGAGTATATATACGTATCAGCTCTGGTGATGTTACACCAATACAATGCTGTTAAATTTGAGAGAAAATTTTATTAACGGTCTGAACATATTCATGAATTCCTTGATATCAGCATCAGGCTTTAAAGCAATAAAAGGTTTATCCACTTTCAATATCTTCTGATCAACACCAAATTTAATCTCTGATCTAGAAATTCCACAAGGCAATAAATAATTTCTTTCCACACCGTTGTTAGATCTCTTAAGGCTGGCACAAAAAGGTGATGAACTCGCCTTTCTCGTGGAATACTAAGGGCAATGCCTTTCAAGGAAAGTTGATTTCACTAGGCTCTTCCTTTGAATTTTTACAAGAAGTATTATAGCAGAAGCCATTCCACTCTTGACATCTATTGTAGCAGAGACGTTTTGAGAAGTTCTTCTTGAAAGTTCTTCATCAATATTTACATTGCTTTATCAACTTTCTGGAAAGTGAAAGCCGAAGGTATTGAGTCTATTGACTAAATTGAGAAGTCTGAAGTAATTTTATTCGTCGTTATCTCTTATCAGTTTCACACGTTGATAGATTTTGTCACTTAATTCTCTGTCAGCAGGGGAAAACATTTTACTTATTTTTATAAAATCCAGAAGTAAAATAATATTAATTGTGACTGCTAAATGGAAAAGTATTTGACCTGAGATTTTGCTAAACTCACTCGTAGGTCATATTTTATATTTCCTAAGATGTTAAAAGTTTATGAAGTATGTCATCAGTTTATATGGAAATATAAAATTATTTTACACTAAAGCTTATATAATAACAAGTACAAATGCCCTTCTTTCAAGACCCAATTGATTGCCCAACCATTGACCCAATAAGAACCCATGCCCTGAATGTATATTACCTATTACCTGTCTGACTTCACCACATCAAAAAGTGACTAACAGACTAACAGTTGTTGTGACAGGGTCACAGTGTAACTAGAGAATAAGTAAGATGAAGACCACACCAAATTCAAAAAAGCCTTCCTAGTTATTCTCAGGGATAATGCAGGTCAATACAGTAGGTCTGGATCTCCTCTTAATTACTGGAGTTGTAAATTATTCTTAGAATAAACCCTGGCTCTACTGCACTGCACTAAAGTGCAGGCTAGCAAAAACGTGTATTAACCGGTACAACATGCACACTGTACACTCTTCTCAATTATGGTAGCTATAAACAAAGCAAACGAAACCGGGGTTTCGGCGTCGGAGAAATAGTGCAAATTGCTTAACAACTAGAAGAGATTCGTATAATAACTTGTTTTGTCCAGCCTCGCACATGCAGACGCTGTGTTTTGTCAATAAAAAGGGTCCTGAAGGGGTAAAATGGGAACTGGGATTTGCTTATTTTTGGGTGGGAAAATGGGATTTCATGCACTGGGACTGGGATTAATCCGCATAAAAACAATAGAAAATGGGAATGGGATTAAGATTTGAGCAGGACAGCCACTGATATGATGGAATTTGTGCTCTGAGACAATGGGATTTAGTCAACATTTGGGCTGGGAAATGGGAATACACCCACTTTAGGACCCTCAATAAAAAACACATGAAGTCATACAAATAATTTGGTTTTGATTCAATCAACGCTTCCCCAGTTACAACACAAAAAGATGCAAGGGCACAAGATAATTGCAGCCCGCGACCCATTTCGTACAACTACTTCCAGTTAATTTTCGATCCTAAATGAGTATAATTATACTTTCAACATGTAATTTTATTGACATAATAATTTTAGATCCTAAATGAGACTTTCAACATGTAATTTTATTGACATCAAAACAGTCAAAACGGCCAATGTTGATGTCATTGCACACAATCTTTCATTTGAATCGTTAGCTATATTCCCCCTAATCTTGACTGCCGGTTAAAAGCTCACACTGACTGCGTGAGGTCATTCAATTAATACCAACACAACAAAGGGTTTAGGCTTGAGCAGTTTTCGCGTATCCCTGTTAATTTGATGATATCATGTGACTATTACTGTAAAGGTAATCGGGACAGTAGGCTTGGACATTATACTGCATATATAATATATTTGACTTGAATATCGATCATATACATATACTTACAATTAAGTCTTACATTTACTTCAATTGTTTTTTCATCTGACAGATTGTAGCTCTGAGCTTTGCACGTGTATATTCGATTGTGTGTTTCATTCACATTAGTGAGAATTAATGTATTCTCTTCATAACTTGTGTTACCAAACTGCATCCCATTTTTATACCAAGTCACATTCGCTGGAGGGTTTCCACCTTGTTCTGTACATTCACATGTGACATTATCACCTTCATTCACTGTGATAGGACTGGAACAATTACTGACTTTCACATTTGGCTTTTCTGAAATATAAAGAAATCATGTTCAGTAAGTCATTTTGTAGGTTTACAGCAAAGCTTAAAGTGCATGCATGGCTGGATACTGTTTTTTAAAAATAGAAAATTCACGATTTAGATCAGTATTTTTAGAGAATTATTTACTTGCTGAAAAACAAAAGGTATCTCACTGATGTAAAACGGGTTTGAATTTTTTCACAAAAGTTACGCAACTGCCGTTGCTATGGCAACAATGACGTTTCAAAATGGCGGATATTTTGGCTTTAAAGTAATTCAACTCGTAAACGATATTGATGACCGCCAAATTTTATTTCATAAAATGATTTCTTTTAGTATATTGTCAATTATTTTGATAATTTAAAAAATTCTGTTGAACCGAAATTTTTCGAATTACGTGAATGTAATTGTTCATACTATAATATCTGAATTTTTTTTGGCTCAGCAGATTTTTTTAAATTGTCAAAATAATGGAGCAAACTAAAAGAAATCATTTTATAGAATAAAATTTGGCGGTCGTCGATGTCGTTTACGAGTTAAATTACTTTAAAGCCAAAATATCTGCCATCTTAATTTGGCGGCCATATTAAAATATCGGGCGGGCAGGTCCCGGGTACGAGGTTGTGTTTCTACGTCACAGAATGCACAATGAGTTGTCAGATTAATTAAGTTGTATATCCCTGCTATTATCAAACAAATTCGCATTATATAAGTATGTTGTGAATATGTGTTGTTCTACAACATTAAATAATGGATTCTCCAGCAATTTCACTTCATAATATCAAGAATATAACATTTTCAGCAAACTTTATATTATGCATATTTGCGATGTTTGACACTTATATCAAACTAGCTGAAATGTCTGGAAAACGAAGCAATGGAACAAATAACTGCAAAAGAAGTCACTCTATAGTTTTTATAGTTCTTTTTAAGTAACGGCAACAAGACTTTTCGTTTCATATGCACTTTAATATATTGTCGCAAAAAAGAGAAGGAAAAGGTGATTCTTCACAGAGGAGTACAATGGCAATGTTTTTATATATAAAACACATATAAGTATATCCTCGTCCCCAGGGTCGCGTTGGGAGGCGAGGGCTGCTTCCTCCGCAGGCCCTCGTTGTGTCATGGGAAGGTCACGGTTTCGAGAGGGCCTGCGGAATCTTGTAAAATGAATAAATGTTGTTCTAAACCTGCTTCGTTAAAGAAGAAAGAAGGCAGTTTTATGCGCGCAACGTTTGTGTGGACAAGAAACCTTATCGTTAAAAAATGCTTCCGTCCATGTCCTCAGAGTCGCCATTTTAATTTACAAGCTTCACGCCGCTTTTTTATAGCCTGTTTATATTCAAGATTATGTATAAATTTATTTGCTGACGTCACGCCGGTGCCATTTTTTTTTACAAGATTCCGCAGGCCCTCGCCAGATTGTGTGTGACCGTCCCCTGCGGAGGAGGCAGAGGCGAGGAAAGAATTCCTTGGCAAAGGCTGGTGTCAGAGGGCTGGTGTCACATGACCAAATTTCTAATTTATTTGGAAAACACTTTAATGAATGTTTTATATTCCCAAGGTATTCGGGATAAAAGGATGTATCAGAAAAAAGTAGACAATTTTGAAATAGCTCTCAATTTCACAAATCCCTTCATCTCATGGAATTTTTGATAAATATAGATTGTTTGGGTACTTATAATGTAGAATAAACAGTTCGTAAAGATAAATTTTCCAAATCAAGGGGTCTCTTTTTTAGCAGCATTAAGAATAGCTTGCGCGCGATATTTAAAACGTTAAAATTAAACGCATTTCGAATTCATGGGCGAAAAATTTGTTATGTGTTTTATTAATGGTCCAAATATCAGAAAATTTGCTCAATATTCAGTTCTTCAAATAGCTGCCGAAACTTTTTGCCTAATTTGCATATTTTCTTTTTTTTACAATAAATATATCCCAGAATTTTAAGAATATCTCAAATTTTAGCTACTTTTCAACAAAACGTACCTAAAATAAAAACCTCAATTTCAGCACTATGAACCCCACCAGATACTTGAACGGTAAACCGGTATTTTCCATTATAACGTTCATTAACGTTCTTTAGAACCAACGTTGCTGGCGTTTCTATTGCAACCCCAGTTAAGCTGCTTGAAGGTATTATAAGATCATTAGTGCCAATCTTTACAGCAAGTGCCTCTTCCCCTAAAGCACCTCTTCTTATGAAATGCCAAATCAGAGTAGCTTGAGAATTGTTCTTAAATGACCACTTTAGTCTTGTAGTTGATCCAGGTAGAACAACTATCATGCTCTGATTGGATGGTGGATATACTTGTCCTATACAGAAAAAAGTTTTCCTTACTCAGTTTAAAATCACTGAAATGACACAAGATAATTCATTTGCATGCATGGGTTGTTCACAGACTATGCATGTAACTTTTTGGGTGAGGGGGCCGGGAAGAGTTTGACCAAGGCTGAAGCAGTGAAAAAATAACTGAAATCGATAATCAAAACATATTGCAAAGTAATTATTATACTCTTTTATATAATGTTAACAAGTAAGTACAGTAGCTTTCCTTAGTGATGTGCATTCATGCAGAAGCACTATCTTTATAATTTTACAGTCCTACTATTTTGAAACAATGATACACCGATCGTGAAAAAACCAACTTGATTTTGTTCACGAACCGTTTTTTCAAGTTTGTGCAAAAGGAGTGGTCATAATATACGACTCAATTTTGTAATAAAAGTCGGCCAAATGTGCACTGAATATTCAATTCAGATAAATTTATTTATTAAAATAACTTCAAACATAAATAATTTTAAATATCAATGTTGGTACATATTTTCTCGGTGGCGTAAAATCACATTGCTCAAAAGGTGACTGCCGTATGCCTTTAATCAAGGTACTTGCAACTCATTTTATTTAGAATCAAAGAATATGTGACGTCAAAGTTGTGAGGGGGTTGTCACAAAGTAGATATGCAACATGGCTATATTAATAGAGAAAAAGCATCATGTGTTTTTGACCCATTACTATTAAGATATATACTGCATGCATGTGGACTTATTCTTGCCTTTACAGCATTAAATCTAGCCAAAAAACAAGAAGTTCAAATTATTATTTAACCCCTGCCAAGAAGTTTAGCCAAGCGGGTTTAATTTTTAGATGTTTTAGTATCTGACGAGTAGGCTGGCATGCATGCATGAATATCAGAATATATAAGAAAAAATGTGAATATAAATTCTTACCTTCACATGGCGGAAACAATATGCAGCTGAGACCAAATAAAATAAGAAACCCAAAGCCAGTCATTTTATCGAAGTTATACATATAGGCCTAAAAAGTAATACAATTATAAGAGCTATAGCCTTTTCTTTTGGAATGAAAGATTTTATTTTTGTGTAGAAAACCATCAAATTTGGGAAGGTCTTCAGAGCAGCTGCAAAAATCTAAAGAGTGGCATTATACACGCATATATAGCCTCGAATCCTCGACGTAAACATCAAAATAACAAACATTAAAAAATAAAATTTTAAAAAAATCAAAGAATGAAGTCCACGCTATGCTGGTTCAGAAAAGCAGGACCTTTTTAACATACAAGTTGGGGGGGGTGGCATTTGCCCCCAATCCAATCCCCCCTTGTGCCCCCCTCCCCCACGAAATCACGTTTTGCCCCCCCCCCCAGGAAAAGTCCCTTTTTCCTAAATTTATACCAACAAAACAGCGAAGAGTAACAAATAAATAAACGGAAAGTAAGTTTTGGGCTTTATCCTTTGTCCTTGTTTAAAATTAACAAAATCGATCTAAATTGTTACGTTTTTCTACCACTAAGTAATGATAAATTATTGTTAATAATTTTTTATTTTTTGGTTGCTCAGAATGCAGGAAAGAGCATTTCCAGGTTTCAAATCTGAAAAATTTTCTGGAGATTATGCCCCCACACACGTGGCCTTCGGCCGTTGGTACTCCCCCTCTAAAAAGTATAATGATAAATTACGATTAATATTCTTTTTTACTTTTTGTGCATTTTTTCCTTCTTTTATTTCAAATACAAATATAATAATGCAAATTTGGATGCTCAGAATGCAGGAAATGGCATTTCCGTGTTTCAAATTTCAAAAATTTTCTGAGGGAGTACACTCCCACACACGTGACAATGGTATTCTCCTCTAATAAGTAATGATAAATTATGGTTAATATTTTTTTTACTTTTTGTGTGTTTTTTTCCTTCTTTTATTTCAAATACAAGTCAGTATACATTTTGGAGCGCATTTGGATGCTCAGAGTACACCCTGGGGGAGTACACCCTCCCCTCCCCCTCATTCATGCGTGCATGGTATTTTCGGCGCACACGTGGCCTTCAGCCATTGCTTTCTCCCTGTAATATATTATCTCACAGAAAGGTCCCTTTTCAAAAAATGCCCCCCCCCCCCACGGGAAAATTCTTAAAAAAGGCCCTGCAGAAAAGGTGGGACCCATGCATGCATTCTATAAAGATTAGTTTACAATATATGGTACTTTCTTTCATCAAAGACAAAGAACGCTTTGGGTAAAAACAATGTGCTCAGCCACTGCATGTGATCGCAAGTCTAGCTGTTTTAAATGTTGAATTTTCATGCGCCGAACCGAATCACCAGAATTCTTTGTTACAACTCACTGTCATTGGGTTCAGACAGGGACAGGCCTGAGTGTAAGCCAGATTTAACGTACCAGTTATTTTGTTGGCAGCACTAATATTCAGGCCCATCGAATAAGGATACACAAATCTTTCATACGTATTTAAACAATTTATGTAAAATGAAAGCTTGTGTACATTGATGTGAACGTATCTTGCAAGATGCCATTAACATCAATTTATACGCTGCAAAAAGTTTCGCTACTTTGATTAAGCAAACGAATGTCATTCCTGAACAAATTTCATTCATGACATATTTCGAGTGTTGGGATTACATTTATTAACTTAAACGAAAGTATAGGTGTAAATATATCTGATATTATACCTGGTTCGTATAATTATATAAACTCTAATAAATATACACTATTATAACAAATATTATATGCACACCTAACCTGCTGAAAGTAGCATTCCTGTAAAATTGGCTACCAAATGCTATGCTATAGGTGTGTAGAGTTCTTCTTCAATCTTCCGGTTTCGATACTACTTGAAGTTTGATATGCAAATATGTGACACACTATACCTGCAGTCTGTGTATAAGTTTTTAAAGTCTATATAGGTTGGTATATTCCTGTAAAATTGGCCACCAAACGGTATAGCCTATATTTAGCGTGCTGTTTGTAACAACAGAGTTAAGAAAAGGGTTGCGATTAGGATAAAGATCAAGGAGTAATTTATTCCGGAGCGCGAAACATCAGGATGCAACCTTAAGTTCTTCCGGCTTCGACGCTGCAGATATTGAAGCTTAATGATGTTCAAATAAGACATAATGCCGTCTGTGGATAGATTCCTGAAATCTATGATGAATTTATTTAATTAAGCTCAAACTTTATCTACCGCCGCCAGGAAGGGACGTTTTCATTTGCTTGTGTGCATGTTTGTGTATGTGCTTTTGTCGTGTGTCGCAACTGAATAACTCAAAAACTATTACACAGATGGTTCCGAAAATTTGTGGAACCAATGTAGCCATAGGCCAAGGTTAAATTGACCAAATTTTAGTTTAATCTGGATGTGAAATTGGATGGAAAAATTTACAAAAGTTTGCTTTGGTTTTCGTGACTAAAACGCGAACTGAATTCGTATAATAATTAACAATTTTTGGAGGAGGCTTTTGTGTATGCGGAATTATTAAGGTCGAGGTAAGCGTTATAAGCCGAGTCGAAGGCGAGGCTGATAATGCTTACCGAGACCTTGACTGAATTTTGTAAAAAGCAAAAACCGAATTCAATAATTGTTAATTATTATACGAATTCTACTATACATTTGTTTGTGTTAAATAGATACCGCTTGCTAATCATCGTAGGCTCATTTGCAGATAACTCAGTTATCTGCTAGCAATCACTGAATTTTGTGTAGGTTGCGTGATTTAACTGTAAGCTCTTAGCCAATCAAATTGCTTTTACTAACCGTATAATAATACACGTTTTGAGTAATCTCTAGTTTTACTACGAATATTATTGCATGTGTCAGTTGACAAAAAATACCAAGACCATGATTTCTTGTCAGCAAAAGAATTGGAATTTCTTTCATAAGGGATGTTTTTGAGGCTGGTTTCCGTCTTGTATAAGAGTTGGGGTTCGTTGCTATGTTGCGCAATTGATAATTGCTCTTTGGAATTATTTGGTTGAAGAGTGCCTAAAAAAAGACAAAGGAAAAATTTGGGGGAAACTGGGATTTTGACTTGAAATTTTTAATCGTATTTGGACATTTTTGTTCGAAAAATACAAAAGGTTATACAGATCTGATCCTTATTGATATGAAAAAATCCTTAAACTATTACCTTTTTTGACACCCTAACTGTAGTCCACAAGCATTGTTTATATAAATAAGTAATAAAATGTTGATCAATGTGAAGAAAAGCTCAGTTTGAATCTTTTTTATTTAATAATTCTGTATAATAAAATGTACATTTTTTTTACACCGAAGATTGATTAATAAAAAGGATTTACTGCTGGATGAATATTAATCTGGATGAATATTGTATTCAAATTACCCATCAAACATATGAAATTGTAAATTCTTCAGAATTCTTTTGTTTTTGTGACTAATCGGAAGGTACCGGTGGGGTACAACCAATACTACTTGTGAAATCTTTGCGCTAAGTAAAAACAAAGTACCAGTTTCAGTATTCTTTGAAAATTATAGTTATCATGCGACAATAAGTTGGTAATTATTGCACAATGTGCAATATATGCAATTACACATTCTAGTATAGACTATCCAGTATCCATAAGCACCGTTAGAGCAGCCAAGAAAATTGGCTAAAAATTTGCTGGACCGACTTGTTAATTTTTTCAAACTGTATAGCAGGGAGCCAATATCCTTCAAGATGAAGCACTAAAGCACTGCGCACTTTGAAAATCAATAAAGTCCCTATAGCCCTAAATTTGCTTCACAAAAGAATCTATAGTCATGGCCATCAATAAAAACCTTGAGAGAACAGAATAAACTAAAACCCTATATGCCCGCAACTGGCCTCGGTATCGAGTTTTAGTCTATATACGACATAATATAATTTATTGCAGGTTCAAGTTAGAGATTGGTAGTTATCCTCCACATCTCTGATTTGATTTAGTTTAGTATAAGTTGACTCCTCATTATTTCCAGCATTAACTCTCAATGATTGATA